CCCCCCCCCCCCCCCCCCCCCCCCCCCCCCCCCCCCCTCACCACAGTCACATTTTTCCTTACAGTTTTTTAATGGGTTTATTCGTTCATGAAGTTTAGGGTTGTAGTGTTTGAGCTGTGCAGAACTGAGATGCGAAATACTACCTGGGACTTGGGTATCCCAAATGCTAAGCACTTACATGTTGTCAAAGCAATCGCCTCGCATTCATTATTTTGTAGCTCTCTGTCCAGGAAAAAATAACACTTAAGAAATCTGGTCTCTCATGCAACCACTCTATGCTGAGAGGGATTATTTTGTTACGGGAACGTTTTCATGGCTCTGGATAAGGTTTCGCTCTTAATTTCAAGCTCTCGACGTGAGCACTGGGGAATCAATTGGTCTCGAGAAGGTACAGTTAGCTTAGAACAGCGCTGGAGGGAACTGCTTCTTGCGGTACTGCGCTTACCGATTTGAGTGACTTACAAGCAAATACGGGACACTACAATTCAAAAATTTTTTAAAGTTAAAGTTGCTTGCCAAGCCGTGTCGTATTTTAGTAGTTACTGGTCCGGATCGTTTTCACTCGTACTAAGATGGGCTGGGTATATTGCGAGTGGGCAAAGTTTACGCACTCCATTCATAGCAGTTTATTTCAAATAATTACTGCGAAATCAAGTTGCGTGTGGATGGCGTCGGGGTGTCCCGAATCGAATTCGAGAAGAAAAATAAACAAACCGGCATTCCGCGCGAAGGCTGTTCTGTTCATGAGAAAACATTTCATGACAGAGTTCGCATACTCGATCCATAACCGCATGTAATGCTTCATGCCGATAAATGCCGCAGCTTGGATCAATTTCTTCCCATTTCCTTTGTCCAGTCCGTTTCAGTATGTCCAGTAGCTGCTCGCCATTTGGGAGACCCTGTATTTGTTCACTTTCAGTACAGTGATATAAGCATCACTGTAATGGTACTAGTACAACTCTTTTAAATACCTTATTAAACGAATCGCATTTGATACCCTGTCTAGCGAGCTGTTGACTTTCACATTCAAACCATGAGGATTAGCGGGTCTTGCGGATCATTTCAGGCAAAAACAGTTAAGAGGACCAGACGGCCGATGCGATTTTCCCTTCCCAATTAGATGTTATGGATTGCACAGCGAAAGATACGCAAGCTCATGCAAAAGACGAACGAAAATTTCAAGCATGTAACTTGCTCACTGAAATTTCTAGCCTGCATCTATGAGAATTTGCTCGTCAACTTTTTAAGCTTCTTTGTTTAGCTAAAAATTAGCAGCCATATTTGGGATTCAGGTCAAAATTTATGAGAGAAAGAGAAAAATCTGGACGATTCATGTTTTCAGTCCCAACTTGAGCATATGTACTGACCAGACATATGTACTGACCACTAAAAGCGGACTCTTGATGGCCTTTACAGGCTAGACCCTGTCGATCTGCACAAATAACAAATGCAAAATTACAAAACAAATTTCCAAGTTCTAGTTTTCCAGAGCTCAAGAAAAAACAATAGATTTAGAGTTCAGAAGCATTAGAACATACCGCATTCACAAACTGCCTTCGGTACAAATACATCGAACTCCTCGCTTCAGTTACCATGTATAGTGAAGTGAGCAATAGGAAACACAACGGAGCTTTTATCTTAGCAGCTTTGTCTCCAACGAATCTTATGCCTACAACATTTTTTTGATTTCTTGTTCCTGCGTATCCCATTTTCGTAGCCAAGCTGAGTTCCATCCTGAAAATTGAAACATGTTTTTAGTCAAAAAATGCCAATTGCTGTCAAAAAATCATGGAAAAAGAGACGTTGACGCATTTGTAAAAGAGTACAATCGTTTACGGTACGTCTGCCACACTCAACAGAAATTTTATCCAAGCACAACGTATTAAGCTTTTCCTCCATTCGTTACAGTACCTCATCTGTCATTAATCTCTTCAAGAAACGGGACTGTCCAAGATATTTCCCGTCTATAGCGCTTTCAGAACTTTATAATAGGCACATGAAATTTGCTTCACTAATTCGATTGTAGCGTAAGAAATCTCTTGCATATTCCGGACCGGAAGAACAGCGTCATCGTTCTATTTCTGCTATTAATAAGCAAAAAAATTGCGCAGATTCAATGAAACATTGTGTAGCACTTTTGCTGACCTGCTAGAATTCGTTGGTATCCATCGGTCAGCAGGCGTTTTGGCGCTTTTTGCTACTGCTGCTGCCACTACTATTACTGCTGCTGCTTCGCTCCCCGATTTCGGGGAAGAAGGAGACATGAAAATAGTTTTGGGTCTGAAGGAAACCAGTAGTGATAACCCGAGTTCCCAACCGGTGATTCTAATCATCCAAATCCAGATCATTTGAACAAGTACCTCGCCACAGCAACATTTTTTTAGGACATGCAAAAACATTTGAGAGAGGTGCAATTTTAA